CTTGGTAAAACCTTTCAGGACATAGGCATAAGCAAGGACTTCATAACTAAGACACCAAAAGCATTGGCAACAAAAGCCAAAATAGATAAATGGGATCTAATTAAACTCCAGAGTTTCTGTACAGCAAAAGAAGCAATCACTGGAGTGAACTGGCGATCAACAGAGTGGGAAAACATTTTTGCAATCTACCCATCTGACAAAGGGCTAATATCCGGTATCTACAAAGAACTAAAACAGATTTACAAGAGAAAAACAAACACACTCATTCAAAAGTAGGCGAAGGATATGAACAGACACTTTTCAAAAGAAAAATTATATCAGGCCAACAAACATATGAAAAAATGCTCATAATCACTGGCATTAGAGAAATGCAAATCAAGACCACATTGAGATGCCCTCTGATGCCAGTTAGAATGGCGATTATTAAAAAATCTGGAGACAACAGATGCCGGAGAGGATGTAGAGAAATAGGAACACTTTTACACTGTTAGTGGGAGAGTAAATTAGTTCAACCATTGTGGAAGACAGTGTGGCGATTCCTCAAGGATGTAGAAATAGAACTTGTGTTGACCCAGCAATCCCATTACTGGGTATATATCCAAAGGATTATAAATCGTTCTAGTATAAAGACACATGCACACATATGTTCATTGTGGCACTGTTTACAATAGCAAAGACCTGGAACCAACCCAAATGCTCATTGATATCAGATTGGACAGGGAAAATGTGGCACGTATATACTCTGGAATACTATGCAGCCATAAAAAACGATGAGTTTGTGTCCTTATTAGGGACATGGATGAACCTGGAAACCATCATTCTCAGCAAACTGACACAAGAACAGATAATCAAACACTGCATGTTCTCACTCATAGGTGGGTGTTGAACAATGAGAACACATGGACGCAGGGAGGGGAGCATCATACATGGGTCTATTGGTGGGGATTAGGGGAGGGACAGCAGCCTGTAGGGAGTTGGGGAGGGATAACGTGGGGAGAAATGCCAGATATAGGTGACGGGGGGATGGAGGCATCAAACCACATTGCCATGTATGTACCTATCATGTATGTACCTATGCAGCAATCCTACATGTTCTTCACATGTACCCCAGAGCCTAAAGTGCAATTATATATATATATAAGAAGAATTCTTTTTTGTGTGGTTTTTTTTTTTGAGATGGAGTCTTGCACTCCAGGCCGGAGTGCAGAGGTTTGATCTTGGCTGGCTGTAACCTCCGCCTCTTGGGTTCAAGCAATTCTCCTGCCTTAGCCTCTCAAGTAGCTGGGACTACAGGCATGTGCCACCACATCTGGCTAATTTTTGTAGAGATATGTTTTTAACATGTTGTCCAGGCTGGTCTTGAACTCTAGACCTCAGGTGATCCGCTTACCTCAGCTTCCCAAAGTGGTAGGATTACAGGCATGAGCCACCATGCCCAGCCAAGAATTATTATAACTCAGCAATCTAAAGAAAAATAAACCAATTGAAAAAAGAGCAAAGGAATGGATATTTCTCAAAAAAGATAAATAAATGGCTAATAATTATTGTCCATGAAAAGATGGTCAACATCATTAGTCATTTAGGGATATGCAAATCAAAACCACAGCGAGATTTTTCTACTTTACGCCCACTAGTATGGATGTAATAAAAATGGAAAGAAATACATGTTGGCAAGGATGTAGGAAAATTAGAACCTTATATTGCTTGTGAAAATGTAAAATAGCGTAGCAGTTTTGAAAAATATTTTGGCAGTTCTTCAAAAAGTTAAGCATTGAGTTATCATATAACTCAGTCATTTCTAAGTTATATGCCCAAGAAAACTGAAAACATATGTTCACACAAAAACTTGTATATGGATATTCATGACAGCATTATTCATAATAGGCAAAAAGTAGAAGCAACCAAAATGCCCATCAGCCGCTGAATGCATCAGCAAAATATGGTCATTTCATACAATAGACTATTATTCAACCATGCAGGAAATGCTGTACTGATACAAGCTACAACCTGCAAACATAATGCTAAGTGAAAGAAGTCTGGCACCAAAGGTGCCATCTCATGATTCTACTTATATGAAATCCACCATAGGGAAATCCATAAAGAGAGGAAGCAGACTAGTGGTTTACTAGGGCTGGGAGGCTGGCAGGGAATGGGGGAGTAACCGCTAATGGGTTTCTTTTTGGGGTGATTAAAGTGTCTGGAATTAAGATCGGATGATTGTTGCACAACTTTGTGCGTATACTAAAAAAACCACATAATCGTACATCCATTAATTCTAGATGGATTTTATGGCTTGTGAATTATATCTATAATGACAAAAAATAAGGTAAGAGATGGGAGGTGGTACCATGCCCCTAACATGGTAAGCACTCTAAGTGTTAGTTATTTCTGCTCGTGCTGTCATGATCTTCATTATTACTGAAAAAAACTTCATTCATTATTCCTAAAAATATTAATTTATTATGGTTATATGATTTCCAGTTCTTTTCTTCAAATTATACAAATATTAGCCACTCAGTGCTGGCCAAATATTTTCAAAGGTCTGTATTTGTGAGCCGGTCCTGGGATGGAAAGCCTTTGAATTACTGTGTGTGTTTGTGTTACCCAATTGCTTACACTGCATCTTCTTACTATAAAATAAAGTACTTCTTGGCAGATCATATGACATTTATAGATTTTTCTTCTTTCTTTCTTTTATTCGATTTATATGATTGAGTACTCTCAACTCCTGTGATGGAGAGAAAGCAAAGAAACCAAGAATAGGAGAACGCTAAGGGATGCCTCAATCTTTTTGTTTTTTTATTTTTGGTTAAATAATTTTAGTTTATTTCATGGAATAAGGTAAATATTTTACATTTGTTAAAAACTGTCTATGTTGTTCTAGGTTAACTGGCTTACAAAAATACATGTAACACAACAAAATTAAAAAATGAATCAGTGAAGACAAAACAAAAAATAGCATGGATGTTAAAATGTAGCTAAAAGCTGCCAGGCACAGTGGCTCACTCATGGAATCCCAGCACTTTGGGAGGCCGAGGTAGGTAGATCACTTGAGGTCAAGAGTTCAAGACCAGTCCGACCAATATGGTGAAACCCTGTCTCTACTAAAAATACAAAAATTAACCAGGCTTGGTGGCCTGTGCCTGTAATCCCAGGTATTCCGGTGACTGAGGCAGGAGAATCGCTTGAATCTGGGAGGTGCAGCTTGCAGTGAGCGGAGATCAGGCCTCTGCATTCCAGCTTGGGTGATTGAGTGAGACTCCATTTCAAAAAAAAAAAAAAGTAACTGAAAGTAAATACTTAAAAGAGTTTGGAATTCCTCAATCTCGATGAGATATCCTTTCCATGTTTTCTCCTATAGTTAAACAAGATGTTTTTCCTTCTTTTGGGCAGTAGCTGCATAGTATGAGACCTCTATAGTGTGATATACTAACATAATCACACCTGGATGCTTTTTGGAAAGCTTTACATAAAATGCATGTTCCAAATGGACTTTCTTCTTTAATTGGTTATCTAGAATTGACATTTGAATTATGTTTGCTAAATGCATCTGCCATTTCCTAAGCGCTGTGATCCTTTTAGAACTATTAACAGAGGAAACTTGGGGGCATTTTATGGTTATAAGGAATAAATGATATTTATGCAAGTGTGTAAACATTAATAACTCAGGGCTTATAAGCATGTCAGGATATTTGATTAAGGCCAGGGAAATGCACATTATGTGTCTAGTACAGATCTAAAAGTGATCTGGGCTCTACCTTTCATTTCTGGATTTCCTTCCTCAAGCTTAAAGGGTGTTCTAATTTCATTATTATCAATCTCAAGATCATTTCCGTTTCCTGGTAGTGACTTCTTTTCCCAGGCTCTTTGTTTGGATATGTGGCCTTGTTTGACTTGTCTTTGATTACTGTATATCTGTACCCCTGTTTGCTTTTGCCTGGCTACTGATTCTCAGTGTTTCACTTTGACCCTTGATAAAGCTGTGACTCTGATTCATTTTTAGTGGGGGATTCACCTGATTGGTGGAATCTAGCCTTGCCCTGCCAGGCGGCTGCCTGGGTGTTACTTGCTGGTTGGAGTGTATCCATAGAAGGCCTTAGATGGTGGAGTCCTTGCTTCCTCGTTCTCCCTCTTTGTTTGGGGGCACCTCTTTTTTGGTCTAGTACACAACCTGATCTCTGTCAATTGCCATGTTCTGTATCGCAGTTTTATGGCATGCTTTTCCCCCCACAGAGGGTAGCAGCCTTTTCATAAGTTATAGTGGGTTTTGATACCCAGTCTCTCTCTTTTTTTTCTTTTTTTGAGGCAGGTTTTCACTCTGTCACCCAGGCTGAATGCAGTGGCATGATCACAGCTCCCTGGAACCTTCAACTCCGGGACTCAGGCATTCCCCTCACCTCATCCTCCCAAGTAGCTGGGATGGGACTACAGGTGTGTGCCACCATTCCTGGTTACTTTTTTAAAAGAGATTTTCGGCCAGGCTCGGTGGCTCATTCTTATAATCCCAGTACTTCGGGAGGCTAAGGCGGGTGGGTTATGAGGTCAGGCATTCAAGACCAGCCTGATCAACATGGTGAAACTAGGTCTCTACTAAAAATACAAAAATTAGCCATGTATGGTGGCGCATGCCTGTGATCCCAGCTACCCAGGAGGCTGAGGCAGGAGAATCGCTTGAACCCAAGAGGCAGAGGTTGCAGTGAGTTGAGATTGCACCACTGCACTACAGCCTGGGTGACAGAGCAAAACTCTCTCTCTCTCTCTCTCTCTGTCTCTCAAAAAAAAGAGTTTTTTGTAGAGATGGAGGCCTCACTATGTTTCCCAGGCTAATCTTGAACTCCTGGACTCAAGTGATCCACCCTCCTCGGCCTCACAAAGTGCTGGGATTGTAGGGTGAGTTATCATGCCCAGGCTTCCCAATGTCATTCTGCTTTGAATTTTTTTAGAATGATTATTGTATCCTAAGCATTTATAGCATTTATATTCTTTACTTTTTATTGCTATAGCTTTGGTAACTATTGGTAATTTAGACATTAAGGAATTATGTATAAAATTGCTATAGGTGCCTGTGGTTAAATTGTTTTACTAAGATTTCACTTCTAGAGAACTGAAGAATTTACCAAAGTAAAAATGGTCTAGTGTTATTACTTGATTTATAAAAATGAATATGTCACAGTTAATATTAACAATACTATACTCTGAGGTACAGATTAGAAAAATATGCCCCTTATTTGTAACAATGAATGGAGTGACCAAATCTATAGTTTTTCAAATCTATGACTATTATATATTTTTCTGTACCAGGTAACTTTTTTTTCTTTTTTGAGTCAGAGTCTTGCTCTGTCACCCAGACTGGAGTGCAATGGTGCAATCTCAGCTCACTGCAACCTCCACCTTCTGGGTTCAAATGATTTTCATGCCTCAGCCTCCCCAGTAGCTGGGATTACAGGCGTGTGCCACCACACCCAGCTAATTTTTGTATTTCAATAAAGAAAGGGTTTCACCATGCTGGCCAGGCTGGTCTTTAGCTCCTGGCCTCAAGTGGTCTACCTGCCTCAGCCTTCCAGAGTGCTGGGATTACAGGTGTGAGCCACATTGGCCAGCCTGTACCAAGTAGCATTTATTTCTGTGTGCAGGAATATACATGTGCTTGTTACAGAATTGAGTTTATCATATTCTATCACCATGTATTTCCCATAAATCTATTAAGGTAAAATATGTGCCACTTATCATAGTTTGCTGTGATTACATATTTATACATAAACCTATATGATCTTGGAATTTGGAGCCTGGGTGGTGGCCTGAGAGTCTGTGTGTATGAATGTGGGTGGAGAGAGTGAGGCATGGATGGTTTCTATTTTTTTCTACTGGAGTGCCATTCTTCAGTTTCTTTTCTGGAGAGTCGCTGTGAACACTGCTGTGGGGCTGCTCCCTGTGTGTGGCTCTGCCTCAGAACCCACGGAGTCAGCTCCCAGACCTGCTCCATCTCTGGTTACAAGTCAGTGTCGTATTTGCTGGAAGTTAAGAGACAGGGCCCTGTTGATTACTCTGTGCTTCAGTTTGCCCTTATTAGTATTTCTTGGTTCTTCCATCAGTGAGTTTGATTTCTTCACCAAAAAATAATCTTGCACAGAGTCACGATCCTCCCGGCTTTTACAAAACACTGAGCTTTGGAAAGGAAAATGATTACTCATCACAAGTCTAAACAGTAGGATAAAATGTTCCCATTTAGATCAATCAGGGGCCAATTTAATTTTCTAATGAACTTTATAATTGCTTTCCTGGTCTGCCTTTAGGGACTATTATTATACGAGATTTTCTTCTTTTTAATGTTTCTAGAAGTCAGATTTTCATCTTTGCCAGGAATTAGAGGATCTATAAATGTGTGAAAAAGATGAGAAACAAAGTCACAGATCATCTTGATGATGATGGTCTTACAGTTTTGCAGAAGGTTGAAAAGGCAATAGATATAACAAATTCACGTTCTTGTTATTGAAATGGACAAATTAGAATTCTAGATTCAATACACACTGTGTTTAGACTTAATAAACACCTTCGATAAACTTATTCAATATTTTTTAAATTGACAACCTATTTTGGGGGCTGCATATACTGTAGAGATCAAAGTAGGCATTTCTTTCTTTTTTTCTGAAATAAATACAATCCTTAGGACAAATTAGGCATTTCTTACCCTCTTGGGCTTCTATAAATCAATATGTAATCAAATTAAGATAAGTACTGGGTGCACGTGGAAGGAAGACAGATTGCCTTCAGAGAGTGGGGGAGTCCAGAAGTCTGCTCTAAAGACAAGATGTTTAAAATTAAACCTGCAATGTCCATCTGAATTAAGGAGGTCCAGAACAGGGTGAAGGCAGGCATAGCAGCATGAACCGATATCCTGAGGCAGGAAAGGGCTGGGTTTGTCACCAAGAGTAACACAAAGGTCATTGTGCTGGAGCACACTGAGGAGGGTGAGTGTTGCAAGACAAGGCTTGGCATAGTGTAGGAGAGGTCAGATGATTCAGGGCCTTACAAACCATATTAATTTAGGTGTTCCAAAGTTTGGAGAGTAGATTAGAAGGAATAAGAACATTTAGGAGATGGTGTCAGGTCATTGGCTTTAGGTTGGAAACAAGAGATGACAGTAGCTTGGACTGAGGGTTGACAGTGGAACAGAAGAGATGTGGATGGACTTGAGCTCTATTTAGGAATTAGAACCAACAAAAGTTGACACGGGTTAGATTGTGGTATTAGAAGAAAGGATTCATTTCAGCATCATGGCAAGAACAAGTGAACGGATGAAGGTGTTTTCCTCTAGGCGGAATAGATTTGAGAGAGGAGCAACAGTTTAGTTTTTTGATGTGTGAAGGTTGAAATGAGTCTGTGAGCTATCTTGGAGACGTCAAGTAGGTGGTTAGATACATAGTAGTTGTTTATCTCTTGCTGCATAATAAATTATTATGAAACTTAGCAACAAATCTATATTAGTTATCTATTGCTCTGTAACAAGTCACTCCAACATTTGGTGGTTTAAAACAACAAATATTTATCTCCTGCAGTTTATTTGGCTAGGAATTTGGGAGTGGCTTAGCTAGGGGTGATTCTGGTCCAGGGTCTGTCATGGGATTGTACTCAAGGTGTTGGCCAGTGGTCCCATCATCTGGAGCTTGACCAAGCCTGGAGGATCTGATTCCAGGATGGCTTATGTACGTGGCTTTTGGCAGAAGGTCTCAACTCTTGCTAGGTCTTGGTGGGAGGCCACAGTTTCTCCCTACGTGGACCTCTCTCTAGGGCTGCTTGAGTGTCTTCATGACATGGCACTGAACTTCTCCTAGAGTGAGAGATATGAGAGAATGCAAGGCGGAAGCTGTAATACCTTTAGTCTCAGAAGCCCCACACTGTCACTTCTGCCATATTCTATTCAGGATTAAGCCCCCCTGCCATTTGAATGGACAGCCACCAAATAATTTGTGAATGTATTTTAAAACCACCACACATGATTTTGTAATTCAGAAGAAAGGTTTGGGCTGGAAATCAGACATCAGGAGTTTTGCTCATAGATGTTGTGGACTGAGTAGATGCATGACCACTTAGTAAAAGTGTAAAGAGGTCCAAGACAGATCCTTTAGGAAATCTGACTTGTAGAGGATCTGCTGTGGAGGAGAAGGAAGAAATGGAATCTGGGAAGATAAGAATTTTTCAGGCACGGAGTCGTCTTCTCTATGGAAGCCTATTGGAATGTGTATTTGACCTTCATTTTTAATAATTTGTTCTCTAAATGAATGAAGAATGAATAAATGTCATGTATATGTACAAAGTGTTAATTCTAAGTACGATTATTATTGAAATGCTTATAAAATTAAGAATGGAAATCAGCATTAGGAATGCATAATAACAGGGTGGGAGGTATTGGTAAAAAATTATTTAATGTCCAGACAATGAAATGTCTATGAAGCCTTAAACATGATATTATTAAACAATGTGCATTGTAATAAAACATATGATGTATTTTAAATAAATATAGACTACTACATAAGGGGAGGTTGCATCTGGCTCCTGCTCTCACAGCCATTGCAGTACATTGAGCTCCATAGAGATGGCTTTGGGGCAACCGACAGCCGGATGGGCACTGGGCGACTCTGTGCCTCGCTGAGGAAAAATAATTAAACATGGCCAAAGGAGATCCTAAGAAGCTGAGAGGCAAAATGTCATCATATGCATTTTTTGTGCAAACTTGTTGTGAGGAGCCTAAGAAGAAGCATCCAGATGCTTCAGCCAGCTTCTCGGAGTTTTCTAAGAAGTGCTCAGAGAGGTGGAAGACCATGTCTGCTAAAGAGGGAGGAAAATCTGAAGCTATGGCAAAGACAGACAAGGCCCATTACGAAAGAGAAATGAAGGCCGGGCGCAGTGGCTCACGCCTGTAATCTTAGCACTTTGGAAAGCTGAGGTCGGCGAATCATGAGGTGAAGAGATCGAGACCATCTGGCCAACACGGTGAAACCCTGTCTGTACTAAAAATATAAAAATAAGCTGGGGCGTGATGGCACACGCCTGTAGTCCCAGCTACTTGGGAGGCTGAGACAGGAGAATGGTTTGAACCCAGGAGGCTTTTGCAGTGAGCTGAGACTGCACCACTGCACTCAAGTCCGGTGACAGAGCAAGACTCCGTCTCAAAAAAAAAAAACAAAGAGAAAGAAAGAAAGAAAGAGGAATGAAAACCTATATCCCTCCTAAAGGGGAGACAAAAAAGAAGTTCAAGGATCCAAATGCTCCCAAGAGGTTTCCTTCGGCCTTTTTCCTATTCTGCTCTGAGTGTTACCCCAAAATCAAAGGAGAACATCCTGGCTTGTCCGTTGGTGATGTAAAGAAACTGGGAGAGATGTGGAGTAACACTGCTGCAGGTGACAAGCAACCTTATGAAAAGAAGGCTGCAAAGCTGAGGAAAAAATATGGAAAGGAACTTGCCGCATATGGAGCTAAAGGAAAGTCTGATGCAGCAAAAAAGGGATTTGTGAAGTCTGAAAAAAAGCAAGAAAAAGAAAGGAGAGGAGAAGATGAAGATGAAGAGGAGGAGGAATATGAAGATGATGATGATGAATAAGCTGGTTCTAGTGCAGTTTTTTTTTCCTTTTATTTATTTGCTTTTTGAGATGGAGTCTTGCTCTGTCACCCACGCTGGAGTACAGTGGCGCGATCTCGGCTCACTGCAACCTCTGCCTCCCGGGTTCAAGTAATTCTCCTGCCTCAACCTCCCGAGTAGCTGGGATTACAGGCACCTGCCACCATGCCAGGTTAATTTTTGTATTTTTAGTAGAGAAAGGGTTTCTTCATGTTGGTCAGGCTGGTTTCAAACTCCTGACCTCGTGATCCACCCACCTCGACCTCCCAAAGTGCTGGGATTATAGGCGTGAGCCACCACACCCAACCTTTTTTCTTGTCTATGAAGCATTTAATGCCCCTGAACACAACTCACTCCTTTTAAAGAAAAAAAAAATTGAAGTGTAAGGCTATGTAAGATTTGTTTTGAAACCGTACAATTTTTTTGTGTGTGTGTAGTTAACACACTACCGAATGCATCTTTAGATAGCCCTGTCCTGCTGGTATTTTCAATAGCCACTAACCTTGCCTTGTGCAGTATGGGGTTTGTAAATTGACAAGGAAATTTAAATCAGTTTCTTGTTGGTGCACAGCACAGATTAGTTATCTATGGGGAGGGCAGGTTTTTCATCTTCAGTTATCTCTGATGCAGCTTATATGAAATAATTGTTGTTCTGTTAACTGAATACTACTCTGTAATTGCAAAAAAAAAAAGAGAGTTGTAGCTGTTTTGTTGAAATTCTGAATGCTTCTAAGTAAATACAATTTTTTTTTAATTAAAAATTGCTATGTAAGGAAGGAGCAGACAAAAGTGTCTAGGAGGATGTATCTAAACCTGTTAATACTGGTTTTCTCTGGGCGGATGGAAAACGGGTGATTTAAATTTCCTTCTTTTGGTTTGTCAGAACCTTCCTTAATAAATGTGAATTGCTTTTGAAATACAAATGTTTGAAAATATCCCCTCCCAAAATAAAGAAAAATAATGAAAATAATGATACTTGAAATTCGATTGAGGGGCCAGGCATGGTGGCTCATGCTCACAACCCCAGCACCTTGTGAGAGGCTGAGGTGGGAGGATTGCTTGAGGTCAGGAGTTTGAGACTAACCTGAGCAATATAGCAAGACTCCATCTCTAAAATATATATATTTTTAAATTAGCTGGGCTTGGAGGCTCATGCCGTAGTCTGAGCTATTCAGGAGGCTGAGGTGGGAGGATTGCTTGAGCCCAAGTCAAAGCTACAGTGAGCTATGATTGTGCCATTGCACTCTAGTCTGGAGCCTCAAAAAAGAACAACAACAACAAAAAAAACTTGACTGAGAAAAATTAAGGTACAAAATTTGGCTCTGAACTTCCTGGCAGCCAAGACAAAGTGATACGAAGAAGATCTCTGATCTTTGTCAAGACAGCCTGCTTTATTCCTGGTCCCCAGAGTGAGCAGAAGTGATGTACCTTGCCCTCTAAAGCAATTTCTTTCTTTCTTTTTTATTCTTTTGAAGTATTTCTTTTTAAACTTTTAGGTTCAGGGGTACATGTGCAGGTTTGTTACGTAGGTAAATATGTGTCACGATGGTTGGCTTACAGATTATTTAATCATCCAGGTATTAAACCTAGTATCCATTACTTACTTTTCCTGATCATTTCCCTTCTCCCAACCTCTACCCTCTGACAGGCCCTAGTGCATGTTATTCCCTGCTATGTGTCCATGTGTTCTCACCACTTAGCTCCCACTTGAAAGTGAGAAATGCGGTATTTGGCTTTCTGCTCCTGTGTTAGTTTGCTAAGGATAATGGCTTCCAGCTCCATCCATGTCCCTGCAAACAACATGATTGCATTCTTTTTTTATGGCTGCATAGTATTCCATGGTGTATATGAACCACATTCTCTTTATCCAGTTTATCACTGATGGGCATTTAGGTTGATTCCATGTCTTTGTTGCTCTGGATAGTGCTGCAGTGAACATATGTGTGCATGTGTCTTTGTAACAGAGCAATTTAAATTCCTTTGGTTATATACCCTGATATGGTTTGGCTGTGTCCCCACCCAAATCTCATTCCCATGTGTTGTGGGAGGGACCCAGTGGGAGGAAATGGAATCATGGGGGCAAGTCATTCCTGTGCTGTTCTCGTGATAGTGAATAAGACTCATGAGACCTGATGGTTTTATAAAGAGGCATTTCCCTGTACAAGCTCTCTCTTTGCCTGCTGCCATCCATGTAAGATGTGACTTGCTCCTCTTTGCTTTCTGCCGTGATTGTGAGGTCTCCTCAGCCACATGGAGCTCTAAATCCATTAAACCTCTTTCTTTTGTAAATCGCCCTGTCTTGGGTATGTCTTTATCAGCAGTGAGAAAACAGACAAATACATACCCAGTAATGGGATTGCTGGGCCAAATAGTATTTCTGTCTTTAGGTCTTTGATGAGGAATTGCTATGTAGTCTTCCACAATGTTTAAACTAATTTACACTCTCACCAACAGTGTATAAAGCATTTCTTTTTTTCCCACAACTAACATCTGTTATTTTTTGGCTTTTTAATAACAGCAATTCTGACTGATGTGAAATGCTATGTAATTGTGTTTTTGGTTTGCATTTCTTTAATGATCAGTGATGTTGAGCTTTTTTTTTAACGTGCTTGTTGGCCACATGTATGTCTTCTTTTGTTTAAAGCAATTTCATATAAACTACAGAGATGTTCTAAATCTTGGGGGAATTGGAGGGCATACTTTTAAATGTAGGTTCTGTGAAGGCAGTTGGGCAGTCACAGGGTGGATTCTTACATATGACTTAGGTAAGTTTTGTGATTATTTGGTGTAACAAAGTGGTACAATTTTTAGTATCTTGAGAATACAGTGGTTGATATTCTCTTAGACCAGCTTTCCTTCACATCTCTGGATGACTGGGCCCCACCCGATTCCTTAAGCTGGCTGGCATCAAGGAGTCTGTATTCCAAGACAGTTCTCCAGGGGATTCTGATATTTAGCTAAATTTGGGAATTTGTGCAGTCTACTATTCTTTTTGACCATGATGACAGTTGGGCTTTATTGAGAATTAACCATGTGCCTCTTGCCACATGCTGATTATTATCTTTAATTCTCACAGCAATTATTTAAGGGCTGTATTTTTATCCCCTTTGTATATAGGAGGAAAATAAGTCATCCAAGGCATAAAGCAGTCAAAAAGCAGCTGAGTAAAGTAGCTGGGAGTTGGGTTTTACCTATAAGGCTGTTGGGATTAAATGAGATAATGTGTACAAAGTGGTTACTTTGTGTCTGGCACATAGAAAGCATTTAATAAATGTCAGTTTTATTATGAGAAAACATATGGATGGAGGCTCTGATAGCATCCTCAATGCATCTATCTCACGATTCCTGTCATCTGTCCTTCAGTGTTATGTCTTAGATCAGAGTTATAGGATGTGTGACTAGGGACTGTTGAATTTCAGGCTTATTTTATTTTTGATTCTTTTATGAGACAGGGTCTCACTCTGTCACCCACGCTGGAGTGCAGTGGTGTGATCATGAGTCACTGCAGCCTCAAACTCCTGGGTTCAAGCAATCTCCCCCCCCACCCTTTCAAGTAGCTGGGACCACAGGCATATGCCACCATGCCCAGATAATTTTTGTACTTGTTGTAGAAGCAAGGTTTTGCCATTTTGCCCATTTTGCTGGTCTTGAACTCCTGGGCTCAAGCGATCCACTCACCTTGGCCTTCCAAAGTTCTGGAATTACAGACATGAGTTACTGTACCCCGTCCATTTCAGCCTTATTAACATCCCTTTTACAGAGCTGGAACATCCAACTCCAACTTATAGACCAGAAATATTCCTGAATTTCCTTCCTCAGACTTATCTCAGTGGTGCCAGATTGAGTTAGGATTGAGTTTAGCTGCAAGTAAGACAAACCCTTTTATTATAGATTAACTGAGAAAGAACTCATTTTTCTCAAGTAAGCTTCAGTCTGTAGGTGGGCAACCCAGGGCTGGTTACCTGCCAGGGAAATTGGCAGCGTCTCTCTTCCTGGAGGAAGCAGAAGGACCCAGGGCAAGATGTGCATGCCAGTCAAGTCTGTTAATTTTTCTCTAGAATATAATAGTTCTTCTGGGTCTTCCACCCAATATACTTCTGTCTACCACCAGATAGAATTGGGCCAAGTGGTTGTCTCTAGTTGCTAGGTGAGGTGAATATTTTAACTGGCCACCTTGCTACAGGGGAAAAAAATGAGATTATCTTGTAAGTGAGAAGGGGAAAAAGGATGCTTGAGTAGGCAACTAGCAGTAGCTACCACAGTTCACAGTGAGTTCCAGCAAATGGTTCTCTCTCTTTTTCTTTTTTTGAGATGGAGTCTCACTCTGTCGCCCAGGCTGGAGTGCAGTGGCATGATCTTGGCTCACTGCAACTTCTGCCTTTCGGATTCAAGTGATTCTCCTGTCTCAGCCATCTGAGTGTCTGGGACTATAAGAGCATGCCACTACACATGGCTAATTTTTATATTTTTAGTAGAGATGGGGTTTCACTCTATTGGCCAAGCTGGTCTCAAACTTCTGACCTTGTGATTAACCTGCCTTGGCCTCTCAAAGTGCTGGGATTATAGGTGTGAGCCACCATGCCCAGCCATAGTGTTCTCTCTTAAAAATGATGTCTAGAGGCATGGTATCAGTGAAAACAATTCTGATTCTAGAATTCAGGTTACCTGTAATTATATTCTGAAAGAATGATAGGTTGAAAATATGAGTTTTTAAAAGACAAAATTGGAACCAAGTATAATTTCTCCATTTGTCTTATTGTGAAATATAGGAGTTGAGATGAATTAATCTCTCTTCTTGAAAAAAATCACACTGAAGTGGACATGAAAAATGTTTATTGCATCTGTTTTTTTCTCTATGTTTTATTTCAGTATAATCTAGATAACATAAAATTTATTATTTCAGCCATTTTAAGTGTATGTACGTTTTGTTATATAACCATCACTACCATCCTTCTCCCGAATTCTTTTTTTTCTTCTTTTTTGAGATGGAGTCTTGCTCTGCTGCCAGGCTGGAGTGAAATGGCATGATCTTGGCTCACTGTAACCTCTGCCTCCCAGGTTCAAGTGATTCTCCTGCCTCAGCCTCCTGAGTAACTGGGACTACAGGCATGTAGTTAGCCACCATGCCTGGCTAATGTTTTGTATTTTTAGTAGAGACAGGGTTTCACCATGTTAGCAAGGATGGTCTCAATCTCCTGACCTCATGATCCACTCACCTTGGCCTCCAAAAGTTCTAGGATTACTTTTGTGATTACTCAGGCATGAGCCACTGAGCCCAACCTTCCGAATTCTTTTCTTGTTGAACAACTGAAAATATATACCCATTAAACCAGAGGTCCTGAAACCCCAGGCCACAGATCACTGGTCTGTGGAGTGTTAGGAGCTGGGCCATCCAGGAGGAGGTGAGCGGTGGGTGATCAAGCATTGCTGCTTGAGCTCTGCCTCCTGTCAGATCAACAGTGGCATTAGATTCTCATAGAAGCACAAACCGTATAGTGAACTGTGCTTGTGAGGGATCCAGGTTACACACTCCTTATTAGAATCTAACTAATGGTGATCTGCGGTGAAACAGTTTCATCCTGAAACCACTCCCTCACTCCCCCACCCCGCACTCTCCCACTCCCCCCGCCACTGGCTCTGCCCATGGAAAAACTGTCATCCACAAAACTGATCCCTGGTGCCAAAATGGTTAGGGACCATTGCATTAAACTCCTCACTCCCCTCTCCTCCTAGCCCTTGGCAACCACAATTTTACTGTCACTATTCTAAGTAACTCATGTAAGTGGAATCATACTGTAGTTTTCTTTATGTGACTGGCGTGTCACTTAGCATTCTCTCCTCAATTGTTTATCCATGTTGTAGCATGTGTCAAAATTTCCTTTTTTGTCAAGGCTGGTTATTATTCCATGTTATGTATATACCACATATTGATCTGTTGATGGACACTTGGGTTGCTTCCATCTTTTAGCTTTTGTGAATAGTGTTCCTATTAACATGGGTATACACATGTCTCTGAGATTCTGCTTTCAGTTCTTTTGGTTATATCACTGCAAATGCTTTTTACTCAGATCCTGTTTCTCCTTGACATAACCCTAGGTAATGGCAGCTAGCTCACTCTTGTCTTGAGGGAAATGCTAAAGTTTTGAAGAAAGATATTTCATCCACATCTTTTTGTTTGATTCATTCTTTCTGAACTCCAAGAAAATTTGTGATCGTGAGTTTTGTTTGATTCAGTCCATAGGCTCAGGGAAGGGAGTAATTCTAGTGTTCCCAAAAGACGCCATTGCAGGGCTGCAATGCAGAAAAACACTAGGTTTTGGGGTGTCATTGGGAAGGAAACAAGAAAGAAAACAGAGAACATTATCCTTCCTTTGCAAAGCCATGTTCAAGATAAATAAGAGGAAGAGCTGTTTTACACTGAAGATAATTAGCAACTTTGAGGTACCCAGTGATGGTATAGACTGAATTTACAGATTTTTTTTTAAAGGCAAATAAATGTAAGACTCATAGTAGACTATTAAATAAAGATACTGCTGATTTGGGGCAAAACCCTAATTTTTTTTTTTTTTTTTTTTTTTTTTTTGAGACTGGGTCTTGCTCTTCTGCTCAGGCTTGAGTGCAGTAATGTGATCTTGGCTTGGTGCAACCGTTGTTTCCTAAGTTCAAGCCGTTCTATTGCCTCATCCTCCTTAGTAGCTGGGATAACAAGCACACGCCACCATGCCTAGCTAATTTTTGTATTTTTAGTGAGAAGAGGTTTCACCATGTTGGCCAGGCTGGCCTTGAACTCCTGCCTTCAGGTGATCCACCTGCCTTGGCCTCCCAAAGTGCTGGGATTACAGGCATGGGACACTGTGCCCAGCCCAGAACCCCAGTTTTCAACAGTGACAAAAAGTTAACATGATGATCAGCAAGGGGAGTGGCCTGTCAAGAAGGTTTCCTGCACTTTTGCTCAGACAGTGGATTTTATCTGTTTCCCTTGTCCAACCCTACCTGAATAAGCTTTTTAATTAAAAGATGCATTAGTAAGGCTGGGAGCAATGGCTCATGCCTGTAATCCCAGTCCTTCATGTGGTATAGGCGGGTGGATTGCTTGAGGGTGTGCTTTATGGGTCAGTGTTTTAAATGTGAGGTCCATGGGAAGAAATTTTTAGCCCTGATTTTGAAGGGGAATGAGATGTTCCTTTCTGACTTGTTTTTCCCACTTACTATAAATATTTATCTTGGACAAAGGATTACATTTTAGCGGACGTGCAGTCTTACAAATTTAATTATTAAAATGACTCTTCTTCCTTTTTCTATGATCTCACATTTTGTTTTTAACTTGCCATGGCAGATATTAAAACACTCCAAATAAAGACAAAAAAACTCAATAAAAAAATCCAAAAACCACTTCCCGAAATACTCTATTTTTTCTTATTTACAAATGCTATTTATGGTAGTAGTTGGCATTTCATCAAAGTACATAAGCAAAGGACAGATACGCCTCATTTTTTCCCAGGTTTCTATCTTTTTCTGAAAGTGAGTAAAATATTAGGCATTGCGGAAAGTTTCTAGGTAGTTTGGTGTGATCTGTTGGTAGCTTTCCATTTTGTCTTAATCTCCATTTTTTTTCTTCCCAGTTTATTTATTTTTTTGAGATGGAGTCTCACTCACTTTGTCACTCAGGCTGGAGTGCAGTGGTGTGATCCCGGCTCACTGCAACCTCCACCTCCTGGGTTTAAGCAATTCTCCTGCCTCGGCCTTCTGAGTAGTGGAAATTACAGGCGCCCACCACCACGCCAGCTAATTTTTGTATTTTTAGTAGAGATGGCGTTTCACTATACTGTCCAGGTCTTGAACTCCTGACCTTAAGTGATCTACCCATCTCGGCCTCCCAAAGTGCTGGGATTACAGGCATGAGCCACTGCGCTTGACCTTCTTCCCATTTTAATGACTATTTTGTCTTAAGATACTTGAATTTATTGCAAAATTAGGTGTATTTTAAATGATTCATCGCCCTCTTCCACAGTGTTTCTGTAGTGAATAGACAGGAAGATGGGAAGAAAGTGAACTCCATAAACGCAGTTATTTTCCATTTGGCTAATTCTCTCTGAAGAGAGTATTAGCACTCTTTCTCACTTCCAAGTGAAAAACTCACTGAGCAGGCAGGTGCAAATGAAGCAATGTAACTTGGCAAGTTTCACTTTTAGAAATATGTGGGCTTTATCCAGTTTAGGAGCTTAGCTCCTGATACCTTTCTCTCTCGCATCCTTTGGGATTTGGGAGCTCTTTTTGTCTTTGGGTGAGTGTTGGCATCTATAGTATCTCCTTCCTCCCATATCCTTCCTGTCTGCATGTAATTACAGATACGTAGAAGTCACCCACATTCTCACCATCCTCCACCAACGCAGACAGACCCGCAGACAGACAGACCTTGTGTCAGCCCAGTTTATTTTGTTAGTTGACAAATTCTGTTCCTTTCCTACTTGTCCTCATTAAAGTGAAGAAAAATACACCTTTTACAAGATGGGTACACTAAAGAAAAAGAAAAAAATGTTACAGAAAGTATTACATATTTATTGAAAACAGAAAAATGGCTAATAAAACCTAAGAGTCTCTCCGAATCTTCTGACCGACAGACACAGTGCTAATATTTTGGCTCTTGGCTTTCCGTCATATGTACACATATGTATAAATGAAGCACTGTGTATATTCTTTAATGACTTGCTTTATTATCCCTTAATACATGTGAAAGTCCTTCGATGTCTTTACATATTCATATAAGTACCTTAATATCATTTTTTTAACTTTTTTTTTTTTTGAGACAGGGTCTTGCTCTGTTGTCCTGCTGGAGTACAGTGGCATAACCATAGCTTACTCCAGCCTCAAACTCCTGGACTCAAGCCATTGTCCCACCCTAGCCTGCAGAGTAGCTGAGAGTACAGGTGTGGACCATCGTGCCTGGCTAATATCATTTATTTACTTATTTATTTGACACTGGATCTCACTTGCCCAGGCTGGAGTCCAGTGGTGTGATCACTGCAGCCTCGACCTCCCCAGGTTCAGATGATCCTAGCTGGGACCATGCTGTGTGCCACCACTTCTGGCTGAGTTTTCTATTATTTTGTAGAGATGAGGTTTCACCATGTTGCCCAGGCTGGTGGCTCAAGCAATCCACTCACCTGGGCCTCCCAAAGTGCTGGGATTACAGGCATGAGCCACCTCACCCTGACTGCTAATATCCTTTTTAGTGGTTGTATTTATGCATGAAAAAATATATATATATATATATTTTTTTTTTTTTTTGAGACGGAGTTTCACTCTTGTTACCCAGGCTGGAGTGCAATGGCACGATCTTGGCTCACCGCAACCTCCGCCTCCAGGGTTCAGGCAATTCTCCTGAGTAGCTGGGATTACAGGCACACACTACCATGCCCAGCTAATTTTTTGTATTTTTAGTAGAGACGGGGTTTCACCATGTTGACCAGGATGGTCTCGATCTCTTGACCTTGTGACCCACCCGCCTTGGCCTCCCAAAGTGCTGGGATTACAGGCTTGAGCCACCGCGCCTGGCCGAAAATATATTTTTAAACAGTCCCCATGGACGGACACTGGGAAGGCTAGAACTCTGTAAGAGTTTGAGCTCCTCAATGTGAAGACCCTCTCCTGTTGGCCCTAACTTGCATTTTCCTGGTATGAATCCTAAATATCTGAGACAGGTCTCAGTTAGTTT